AAATCAGAACATCATCATTTTAATTTATGGTTCTCAATGCTGTCCGATCCAACCCAAGAGGGAAGAAAGAGAGAGAGCATTTTAAAATGCTGACTTTCCTACTTCTGAAAGCACCTCTATCCCAGATGGTGTGTGATCTGTTTATGCCCTCTTCACAGAAGTGTTTTCTAGCTCCATTACAAATGTTCCCAGCTGTAAGCTCTAAACCGCCAGCCTTCCTCTAAGTAGAAGCATGTGTTTCGGGCACATGGCTATTACACCATCCCCACAAGTACTGGATGGCTCCTGCTTCTCTGAGGAAAGTAAAACAAGGCTTAATGTGATCACAGGGGACTAAACATGCCCCAGAAGAGAAAACATCTCTGCTGTTTTCAAAAAACCCTTGTACAGGAAATGCTATTCCAGGAGGTGCATTGCTGATAAAAACAAAGCCAGTGAGCTTTGCTTGACCTGACAGAGAAATGTTTTTAAAGATGTCAATGTGTGAATTGAGCACAGTGAATTGTACTCAATTTGATGGCACCTAACAATAACATCAATGTGTGTGAATCAGCTACCCCAGCCTTTGCTCAAGTAAGCCTATGTAACAATAACTAGCAGTTAGCAAACACTTCTTGTGTGTCAGACATTTTTATGCACATCTTTTTAATACAAGTCTATCTATACAATAGGTATTATTACCCTTATAAGTTTGGCTCAGAAAGGTAAATTATTTTGCTCTTTGAATCCAGGATGGACTTTTCCCAAAGCCTTTATTTTTTCACAGCTAAATAATTTTTCTTGCCCTAGTGCTTTTTAATTTACTCACACTACAGCACAGGTCGCCTGTTGTACAGACTTGTATTAAAATATACAATATACAATATTTGATGCCTTTGAGCTGTGGTGCTGGAGAAGAGTATTGAGAATACCATGGACTGCTAGGAAAACAAACAGATTTGTCTTGGAAAGGGTTAAATTGGGTGCCTCCTTGGAGGCAAGGATTCTGAGGCTCCGTCTAACATACTTTGGACATGTTGTGAGGAGAGACCGGTCCTTGAGAAGGACATCATGCTTGGGAGGGTGGAGGGACAGCGCAGGAGAGGAAGGCCCTCTATGAGGTGGATTGATTCAGTGACTGGGATAATTGGGATGGGAGTGTCAGAGACAGTGCGATTGGCACAGGACAGAGCGGAGTTTAGGGCTGTTGTACATAGGGTCGCTATGAGTCGCAAGTGACTCAACGGCACATAACAAGAACAACAACAACACAGCACAGGTAGATGATCCAGCTAGCCTTTCAGACTGTGAGCTCTGATTTGTCCTTGCCATTTTAGCCTATGGCTCCCTGAGCTTTCACTCTCAGAGCTAACAATCTTATCCTCTGAGAAGAGGTGAGTCAGAACTAATGCACATGACCTTGGCAATTAGTTTATTCTCCAATGGGTGTAGCCCAGGCCCACAAATTCTGTCCAGACTGGAGATAGAATAAAAGCAAAAGAAGGGATGTAGAAGGAGAATTGATGCCTTTGAGATGTGGTGCTGGAGAAGAGTATTGAATATACCATGAACTGCTAGGAGAACAAACACATTCATCCTAGAGAGAATGAAACCAGGCTGCTCTTTGGAGGCAAGGATTTTGAAGCTCCATCTGACATACTGTGAGCATGTTGCAAAAAGGGACCAGTCCTTGGAGAGGGAGATCATGCTTGGGAGGGTGAAGGGACAGAGCAGGAGGGCAAGACTCCTGATGAGACAGATTGAATGAGTGACTGGGGTAATGGGGTTTGGTGTAAAAGAGACAATAAGGTTGGCTTAGGATAAAGCAGAGTTCAGAGCTCTTGTACATTGGGTTACTCTGAGTCACAGGCAACTTGACGGCACATAACAACAACAACAACAGTAGGTTGTCAGTTGGACCCACCAACCCCAAGCCCCTACTAAATAATGTTCTCAATAAAATTCTCTCTTCTACTTCAGAAAGATGGAATTCACATATTCCAGTAATTTGTCATTTTATTCAATTTCTTACTGAAGTACATGGTAGAGTCATTAATAATGACTAGTAGGTATTATTTCCTCTATGTTCCATTACTATATGACCTTGAGTAAGTTATTTGACCTCTAAAATGCAAGGTGGTTTTTGTTTCCAAAATATAGTATAATCAGACTTTGCAAGTGTTCAGTGATGATTCTAGATCCTAGACAGATCCTAGAAAACAGAGTGCAGGGCCTCTCTCCCATGCCCTCCCCCCCTTGTGTGTGTGTGTGTGTGTGTGTGTGTGTGCGCGTGCTAGACACAGAATGTGCATGACCTATCTAGAGATCACTTTGCATGTATTAAATTTTATTTCTTTAACATTATTTGGAGAAGTAATTAATTGGTAAAGCAGTAACTTAGAAAGAAAAATTGTTTAACCAAAGCTCAGAACTCATTCATTCTGGGCTTTACATGGAAGCCATGTTCAGAAAGAGCATACGTAGTCTATGCAAGAACAGGCTTTCAAACATAGTAAAAAATGCACATCCAGGAGAAAATAAAGTGGATTAATGGGACTTTCTAAAAATTAAATCCTGTGTGCATCAAAACCTTTCTCCACTAAGGTGAAAAGAAAGCCCACATAATGGGAAAAAATAGTTGGCAGTGACATATCTGTCAAGGATCTCATAACTAAAACTTAGAGAATACATCAGTAAGAAAAGAGTCTAACAACCTGATTGAAAAATGGGCAGAAGATATGAAACAACTCTTTACTAAAGAGGATATTCAGATGGCCAACAAAGACATCCAGAAATGCTCAAAATCTCTAGCTATTAGAGATGCAAATTAAAAACTTTGCTATTGCTCTTGAAGTGAGATAGTCTCTGTTAAATAGTAAAGTTTAACAGGACAGCAAACAACAAGTATTGGTGAGAATGCAAAAGAGATTGGAACTCTCCTAAGGAAATCAGACCTGAGACCCCACAGACATATGCTTACCAATATTTATTGTAGCATTATTCACAATAGGAAGGTGATGGAAGCAGCCCACATGCCAGGAACAAACAAATGGATAGAGAAATCAAAGAATACAATGGAATTTTGTGCAGCATTAAAAAACAATGGAGAACTCATTAAACACTACATGAGTCCAGAAGACATTATGCCGAGTGAAATAACCCAGTCAAAAAAGAACAAATACTGTATGAGACATGTATTTTTTAAAAAAAATAGGATGGTTAACGGGTGGGCAGGGAAAGTAGAAATAGAATGGAAAGCCAATAATCACTGTAATCAGTAATGAGAAGGGAAGATCAACCTAAAACTAAAAGAGGAAGGAACAGTATGTGTATTGCAATTAACAGTCTGGAGCAGGACATGCAGACCTGATCAAATGGGAAATGGGTAGAGGAGATGGAGAGAAGGTATGAAGGAGAAAATGTTATAAAACAAAACTCTACAGGATGAAAACAATAAAAGTTATCATGAAAAAATAATGAGCACAGGTTGGTTTTCAAAAGGAAGGGGCAAAGCTCTCAATTGGGCACAGCAGAAAGGCCAGATTTTTTTTTTATGGTCCCTCTACCCATGATTTTATTTAATAGCCCAGATGTATACAAAACTGTATTTTCCTAATTAGTAAAATAAGAATACCCAACATTACGTTCATAGGGTCACTAGGAGTTGCCCAAGACTCGACGGCATTTAACAACCACAACAACATTACATACAATAAAGTACCCTGGTCTTTTTCATAATTATAAAAATACTACTAACACAACATTTGCCAATTCAGAGTTTTTCAGGGGGTACACTTCAGTAACATCAATTACATTGTTCATATGCAACCATCACCCACAAATGGTAGCCAAATTTCTCAGTACCAGAAAAAAAACCTCACTGCTTCCTAAGTAATAGCCTAATCTTAAATGTAAACTAGATGATCTTTGTACATGCGAATGCATCCTTGTAACTCCAAGATTTAAAATATTTCAGATGCTTATAAAGTGCCCTCGTGTATAGCAGTAATTTATAATAAACAATAACAAATAGTTAAAATCAAAACTGAAAACCAGACAGCTAGCGAGAAGCTTTGAAAGCTGGCCAATAGAAACACTGGATTTAGAAGCCTGGCTGTGCTGAGTAACACTGACAAACGGGAATTTTGTTGTCTAAATGTTTTAATGGGCTGTGGGGTGCTTATATGCCTTTACATTAATTATATTCTTCATTTTCAAAACTATTTTGTAAATTAGTCAACACTTAACTCTCGTTTGCACAAGAAGAAAATAAAAATTGTTTAGAGTTTTCGAAGCAAAAAAGAGAAGAACTGGCTCCCCAGATCTAGCCACGTGGCAAAGGGCAAGGCGTCATGTTACCTAGCAGCACCACGACCGCAGGTTCATTGGCTTAAGCTTCTGGCCGCCAGTATAAAGGCTTCAGCTACTAGTTCTACACTACCGCGCCCGCCTAGAGGCACCTTCCCAGAGGCCGGTCACCTTTCCCTGACTGTGTACTAGATAGAAAGGGCCGGAGACCAATAGGACGCAGAACCCAAATCGGTGTATCAGCAGGACCCAGTCAGTTTGCTTTACTACTCCGGTGCCTTTTGCGCATTTCCTGAAAGAGATAATGATTACTTTAAAACTTGCTGAGGGCTAGAGTGGAACAGCCCAGATTCAGCAGTGCATTAATTGAAAAACGCACCTGGCTTCTGGGCAGGACAGGCTAAGGCTGGGGCCTGACCAAAGCTAACAACATTTTCAAAAATTCTGTCTCATATGCCAACAGAAGCAGACCGAAGTTAAAGCAACAAGACCTGGAGTGTACATGGCAGCGGTGTGGAGAAAGGATAGAAGAAGAAAGATTTAACTCATTTGGAAAAAAAGCACTAGCAGCAACACAGTACAGTTTGTCTCATCACGGGAAAAGCTAGAACGAACGTTTCTAAAAGGGGAAAGAAACTGTTGATGTCCCTCTGAAAATCCTTTTAACCAACCAGTTCAACTGACGGTGGCCCCTGTCCGGCCTCTGCCCTCTGATGTGGTGTCTGGAGCAACTTCGCCTGGGTCCCGAAGGCCTCTTGCGGCGTGGGGACTGGTTTTTTCGCGGTCGAGTCCATCGGTCGGCAAACATCCGTTCTACTGGGTTTGCTAACGTGCTCACGCCAGACTGCATCCCGGAGTTCTGCATCCCGCCGCGACTCCCGTCTAGATCGGGCCTGGCTTCGCTCCGAAACTTCTTAGGCCAAGAGTGGGGGGCAAACGAGGGCGCGGCCCGCACGGATTGGGACCCGAGGTCCCAGGCCGCGCTCTCGCTGCCGCACCTGCCCCGCGCGCCCACCACCTACGGCTTCTGCGCGCTGCTCGAGAGCCCGCACACCCGCCGCAAGGAGTCGCTCTTCCTCGGGGACCCCAGTGCCACCGCCGCGCTCCTGCTACTGCCCGCCGCCCGGCCCGCACCCCGCCCCCGGGCGCACACCTACAGCGGCGGAGGGGGAGACGGACCCCGTGAGCCACAGAGCCCCCTGCGAGCCCCGAGCCGAGCCCCCACCGCCACGCCTGCCCCCGGCAGTGCACGTCCGCACTGGGACCCAGTCATTCCCCGGCCTCGGGGTCGCCGCCTTCTGCGCGCCCCCGACGGGCTGCTGCGCCGCACGCTCTGGGCACGGAGGAGTTGTGGCCTGGCTCGTGCTCGTTCCGTCTCCAGCGGGGACGAGGACGAGGAGGAGGAGCAAGTCGTCGGCTCCAGACGCCAGGTCTCCGACCCATCCGCGTCCGCGACACTACCGTCACTAAGCCCACAGCCCCAGCGCCTGGAGGCCGAGGGCACAGTGACTCTGAGCCACTGCGGTGGCGTCCTGCGCCTGGCCGCCGAGTACTGCCCCGGTAGCGGGCACCTTCGCATCCGCCTGCTGCGCACTGAGGGCCTGGCAGGGACCGAGACCCGTGCCATCAGCTACCGCCTCAGTTTTGTCCTGCAGCCAGCGGGCAAGACTCGCAAGCAGCGCAGCGCAGTGGTTCTGCGAAGTCACAAGGCCGTCTTTGATCAGGACTTGTGCTTGGACGGCCTCTCAGAGGACAAGGTGCGCCGCATGGCGGTGTGTGTCAAAGTGGAGAGCAAAGGCCGTGGCCTGGAGCGGGGCCGCCTGCTGGGCCAGGGCGAGCTGCTCCTGGGCTCCCTCCTGCTGCTCTGAAGGAACCTTGGACACTAACAGCTGCTTTGTACAAAATAAACTTTTCTGGTTTTTCTACCCTGGCCTCTTAATAGTTCCGTATTGACTTAATTAGTCATCGGAGCATTTTTGCATGAATACCCTCCATATTTTTTTTCTCAGCAAATGCAATGTGGTGTGTAGCAGTAATGTTCCCGTTGTATATTGCCAACTACACACCATTTTACCCACACGCTTATGGCAGTATAACTGAGTAACTGTGTGGCTGCATGAGACCTTCAGAACATGACAATGAAATGTGTCACATGCTGGCAACTTTTAGAGTGTGTGATGAAATGTTAAAAGATACAAAACCACAAAAAGTGGTTTTAACACAAAAGTGTTAAAACTAAAGGAAATTTGAAGATCTATTTTCCTCCAATATAATTATGAAGTTTGTTAATTCCATGACATCTCTTAGAAACTTTTTTTAGAGACTATAGGGTCGCTATGAGTCGCAGGCGACTCGACGGCACATAACAACAACAACATCATTTGAGATATTCGTGTCTTAGGTATTGGATAACTAAGCCAAGAAAAGGCAATGAAGTGGCTCTTACAAGGTCAACAGTGAATGATTAAGTAACACTTGAGTCAGATATTCTTCATTGCATCTTGCTGCAAATGCATGGGAAAAATCAGAACTGTTTTAATGTATTAAACTTAGAAGCAATATATTAACTTATTGAGAAGCAGTATATTAAAAATTATTAATGTAATAATTATGTTTATTATTTGTACAAACATATCCTAATACATTTAAGAGCATTAACTCGGGTGATTTCTAAAACAACTTTTACAAGAAAGTATGTTTTGCCCCTTTTTACAGGGTGGGGATACTGAGGCACAGAAAAGAGGCTACAGTTCTCAAATTAGGCAATAAGGGTTTTATTCACTATGCCTAAGTAGTACAACATGTCTAAAGGGACTGTCTCTTTGTGTTATGAGATTGCAACTTCAGCTTCTGTCTGAAAGTGGTCACTCAGTAGTGAATGTTTCCAGTTTGAATTCACCAAATACTCTGCTGGAGAAGGAGGGGCAATCTCCTCCTGTGCCAGTCAGATCCGATTTGATGGTACACAGCAACAACAACAAAAAAAAAAACCCCCAACAAACAAAAAGAAGTGGATGTCTCTTCCCATTCTTCATCCATTAGTGGGAATAGCAAATTGGTTGAAAGTGGCTTCAGATGTTGAGATGAGACTGAGAGAAAGAAGCTAGCCAAATTTAGTCACTGAAACAGGGCCTAGGTAAACTAATCTGGCAGGTCATGAAATCTAGAGTGTACATACTACTTTGTCCTACCTGTGACTTAAATAACTACTAATAATAAATCTATGTTTTAAAGAATGATTTTCCTTCATCCTTCACATTCACTACTAGCCAGGCATATCTCTTCCTGCCTTACATACATTAGAGGAAAATGTATCATTTATAAAGGAGAATGGAAAATATTTAAATATATGTGTGTGGTATGGAAAAAGTTCTAATGGAGCAGTGGGCCTTAGTGGTTATTTCCAAACAGAATCTCTAGTACTTCTAAATTATGATTGGATGCAATAGCCTAATCAACAAGATTTTTAAATTAGGTAAGACATAAACTCATTGGAATTTTAGCACTAGAAAAAAACTTTTAAGAATTATTTTGTACTAAACCTAAAGTGCTTGCTGCTGAGGGTCAGGGACTGCAGCCTTCACTATGGATCGAGGCTCAATGTCAAGAAGACAAAGATTCTCACCACTGGACCAATTGGCAGCATCAGGATGGATGGTGAAGAGATTGAGATTGTTCACAGCTTTAGTTTGCTTGGCTCCACAATCAACACTCTTGGCACCAGCAGCCAGGAAATTAAAAGATGTATTGCCATGGGAAAGTCTGCTGTTAGGGACCTCTCTAAAGTACTCAAAAGCAACGGTGTATCTCTGGAGACAAAGGTGTATCTGGTACAGGCCACGGTCTTTACAATCACCTGTTATGCATCAGAGAGCTGGGCAATGACCAAGGAGGATAGAAGGAGAATTGATGCTTTTGGGCTTTGATGTTGGAGAAGAGTGCTGAAGGTGCCATGGACTGCTAATAAAACAAACAGATTCATTCTGGAGAGGGTTAAACTGGGCTGCTCCTTGGAGGCAAGGATTCTGAAGCTTCGTCTGACATACTTTGGTCATATTGTAAGGAGAGACCCATCCTTGGAGAGGGACATCATGCTTGGGAGGGTGGAGGGCAGGTGCAGGAGGAGAAGGCCCTCTAGGAGACGGATTGACTCGGTGACTGGGGCAATCGGGATGAGTGTGTCGGAGGCAGTGGGATTGGCACTGGACAAAGCAGAGTTTAGAGCTGTTGTACATAGGGTTGCTATGAGTCGCAGGCGACTCGATGGCACATAACAACAACAACAACAACAATCTCATATATAATAGAAGATGAGCCAAGTAGATAAATTGTTGTCTGCCTAAATCACATAATTAGTAAAAGAAGAGGAAAAAACCCAATTCTGTGCTCATTTTGCCTTTCTGTCTAAGGCAACTTGGAACAGTACTTCCAAGACAGAAGAAATTATTCTTTTACATTATTACAATAATTTTACTTATTTGTTTCTAAGACATTTTGTTTGCAATAAGAGTGTGTGTGTGTGTGTGTGTGTGTGTGTGTGTGTGATAACATTGAAGTTCCAATTGTTGCTCTTGAGTAGATTTCATGTATGGTGTCAGTCCATCTAACACTAAAGAACAAACTGATGATCTAGAAGATTTAAGAGATATTCTTCCCCTATATCCATTCTCAGGATCAGGATGCCTAACTCTCTAAGATGTTTGAAAGTCAGAGAAAAAAGTTAGTACAGTATGATCTCTCAGATGTTAAAGCAAAAAAATATGTGAACAGACAAAAAAGGCACTTGAAATTCATCAGTTCATTTTTAGAGAACCTATTAAGTTATAAGGAAGCTCTGGTGACTTAGTGAGAAGAAGTTGCACTGCCAACCCAAAGGCATGCAGTTCAAACGTGCAATCTGCTATGCTGCAGAAAGATGGACAATCTCTTCCCTTGCCATTTACTGTCTCTGAAAACCTGCTAGAGCGCCAACTACAGATTGGTTCCAATTAGATAGTCTATAAAAACAATAACAACACTATGGTAGCGGGTTGGTGTGTTGGAATTAGTGTGACTGGCTCAAGACAGGGAAGGGTTCAGAGCTGCTGTACATAGGGCCACTATACATCACAGGCGACTCAACAGAACATAGCAACAATAATATACTATGACATATTTGGAAACAGGAGTAGCATCCACTTCCTAAACAACACGCCTCTGGAAACCCTATGAACTTTGATAAATGTTGATAGTTGTAGAGGGGCTTCAGGCCTTTTGTTCATAGGGTTGCTATGAGTTGTGCTCCACTGGAAGGTAATAAACAACAATAACAATGGTGGCAATAGTTCATAGGGAGTTATACTACTTACACATAGGTCACAACTCTCGTTGTTAAGTGCTGTCGAGACATAGGCAACTCATAGCGATCCTATGAATGAAAGACCTGGACGCCTGTATAACTTTTATCCTTTCTCCAGGTTCATAGGGTTTCCAGAGGCAAGCTATTTGTGGAAGTGGATGCCACTCCTGATTCCAACCTTGTTTTAATCGGGGAGCTCCACCAAACACTGTCCTTCATGGATAACCATTTCCCATTTGACTAATCAGTGTCACAGTGTTCAGCTTCACATCAACCACAAGTTACCTCTGTATGACAAGTGGACACACCAGGGCTATATGACCTACAAGAATGTTTGACCAAAAACAATCAAAAACAGGCCTGAGGGCTGTGGATTAGAGTCACCCACCTTTGGCTTAGTAGCATCATTTTCTGTCCACTAGGCCAAGTGGTCTCTCTCTATGTTGTTAAGTGCCATCGAGTTGTAGGTGACTCATAGAGACCTTATGAACAAAAGTCCTCAACACTTGCATGACTTTCATCCTTTCTCCAGGTTCATAGGGTTTCTGGAGACAAGCTATTATGGAAGTGGATGCCACTCCTGCTTCCAAGCTTGTGTTAATCGGGGAGCACCACCCAAAACTGTCCATCTACCAGTAGCTCGCTGCATGCAGTGAAAGATGAACAATCTGTTCTATCCTTGGAAGCTCAATGGAGAGTCTACTACAGACCCATCATCCAGCTGGATGATGATGAGTGTGAGGTTTTTATTTGTTTTCATGATGTTCTAAAATTTACAGCTTAAATAAGATACATGCCTTTGTGGAATTCAGGTTTTCAGGAGTCAAATCAATGGACAACAAGCAAATTATTTTAATAGTGTAAAAAAAATAAAATATAATAATGGAGTATGGTGAGAGGACATCTTAGAAGGTTTGTCTGAGAAAAACCTCTATGAAAACCTAAACTTGTTTATATCCCTTTTCTACAGTGTGCTTACATAATGCTGCTGTATTTCAATCCTATGTCCTAATCTAGGTATTTCTGACTTTCCAGAGTCACATGAGAAGTCCTTTCCTAGGAATTCTTCTAATGGGTGGTACTCATAACATAGAGATCAACACTGGAGTATAAAACCTGTCCTGCCTCTAGGTTTATGGGGTCAGCCAACAGAATAGATCTGAGGTAGTCCATGTGTTAACAAACCCAGTTTTTACTATTCTGCATATAGATATACAGCACAATTCCATTGGGTAAGAATCGTATTTTGACACGTCTTTATTAACTATGGACTTAATTTGAGAGAATTGAAACTCTGGACCATTCTAGAAAAAAAGAAGGATTACTTCTTTCTCTCTCTCTCTCTCTCTTTTTTTTATTGTTGTTTTGTTTTATGGTTTTCAAAGTAAAGTTTTCTCTTTCATGCTCTTAAAGCTTCTCAACCCCATATGTGCTTGTTCCTCTCATTCACCTTACCTGAAGAAGATACTACAGGTTGGCTCCTCAAGTGCTTTCTGCCCTCTGTTATAGAGAATGTTGTTATTATGTACC